GAAAAGATGGGTGGAACTATGCAATCATACTTACTTTTTAATAAGGTTTGCTAAAATCTGGGTCATCTCTCTGCAAGTGTCCTTTGCAAGAGCTCACTGTTAGTTCAGATGCCCAGAGCAGGCCAGGGTGGAGACCACATGGAGACAAAGCATTTCCTCTGCAGAACTCGGCTAGTCTAGCCCAAGTCTGGTGCACTCCTGCCCCTGGTCCTGTTCCTGCTAGACAAAGCTCAGAATCAGACGTCTTTCTCCTCCCTCTCCTCTTTCTCTTTGTTCTTTCACCAAAAGAACCTCCTCCTGGCATCCTTACCTTAATCAGGCCCCTCCACTGTCCTCTGAGGGTGGAGTGAAACTGAGCTGTACATCAAGTCGGTGATATAATCACTCAGGGTAAAGAAGAAAATCTTGGCTGGAAGCGAGGAGTGCGGAAATGAAGTCCTTCACTGCTGGTGGCAGGTAGACGAGGGCAGAGGCCAGTCACCTCCCATACCAGCCTTGCTGGCCAAATCAGTCATCAGGGAATGAAATCTCAGCCTGTCTTCTCTCCTTTCATCACCTTTGTTAATGTGTGGACCCAGAGAGCCATTAGCAAAATGTAACCTAAGACCAGGACTCTTCCACTCATAGGAGTGTCTCAGTCTGCAGGCTCCTCCCCCATGTCCACAGGTCCTCCACTCCCCCACCATGATCCCACCTGGAAGCCCCAACTGGCTCTCCTTCACCCACGTATCCATCCTAGAACTTTCTGAGCATGGCCATTGTGCCTACAAAGCTTCTTATCCCCACATGTTTTGAGAAGCTGCCAGAATGACAAAGCACTGAGGCAAATTTGTTCCTTTGCAATTGTGCCCCTCCATCCCAGCATCCTTCCTGCACTCCCACTATCCCTGAGTTCCTGGGACAACAGCTTCCTGATATTTCAGATTCATCAACCCATTCTGACCACAGAGTGATGGAATGGCCCTGAGGGATGTTTTCTTGGCCTTGCTACTTCTTCAGCAGTCACTACAGGCAGCACTTTCCAGAGCACAGGGACCTCAAACTCAGTCTTCTCCAGTGCAGAGATTGCTGAAAATTTCCCTCTCGGCTGCCCACTCCCTCGGGGGAAATGGAAGTGTGTTTGCAAATCAGGAGAATTCTGGAAGCCTCTTAATGACCTAAAAGAGTTGATTAGCTAATGTCAGGTGGCAAGTGGGTTGGGAATTTGCCATTCCTTGTTGTTTCTGGAGTCAGAAGCCCTGTTTGAGCCATTGGTGGGGAGGCTGGGCCCTGCTCTGTTATCCACCACCTCACTGTGGTTGATTGTATTTTCCAAGGTTGGCCACAACAATATGTCCCCTCCTGTGTAGCTTCCTGAACTGTGACCTTGCCACTCTTCCATCAAGAGGTGGTGTCTGTTTCACCATCCCTTGAAGCTGGGCAGGCCTTGGGATTGCTGGGCAGGCCCTGGCAGTGATGCTGTGCTACTCCCAGGCTGAGCCTTTTATGGGCCCTGTGGCTTTTCTTTCTGTCTCTTGGAAGCCAGCTACCAAGAAGGAAGTTTGTCTAGACCCTGAGACCACTATGCTGTGAGCAGCCCATGGTCCACTGGAGAGAGGGAGAGAGGCCAAGGGTCATGAGGAACCAGACACAAGAACTTTTAAGATTACAGAATTTTAACAATTTATCTGATTCTATACTTGTATCTCTCCTATGCTCAAAATCTAGAATCCCAATGCCATTCGTTAACATAATCACTGATTTACAATATATATGCAATAAATATATATATGATAAATAAGATAATGTATCCTACAATATACATCTTATTATATATATTTGAAATATTATTCAAATATTACTATTTGAAATTTATTATTATAAAAGGCCACTACTTTATGACTATACAGTCAAAATACTGAGACTTGAAGTGTTTTGAAATTATTTCTTTTCCCTGCATGATTATATCACCAACTTGACGTATAGTTAGGTTCATTTGTTTCTGTGGTTTTCAGGTTTTAGATATTGCTTCTTCTCAAAAATGTAAAACATGTACATTGTTCCAAAGTAAAAATATGTCCCCAGGTAGTTTGTTTGATTTGAGTTTAATTTTGTTTTTCAGCCATGTAAAACATATTGAATAGCTGATACTGTCCAAAAAAGCCACCATTCCATCTCTCCATTCTGTTTCCTCCAATTGTCTATAATAATTATTTTCACTAGTTTTGGGGTTTATCCTTCCATTGTTGCTTTACAAAAATATAAGCCAATATGCATTTACATGTTTATACGTCTATTATATTTATTACCCCCTTATGGAAAGGGCTGCACACTATAAACACTGGTGTGTATACCTAAGAGCTAGGATTTCTATGTATCTGTATTAATTGAAGTATCTGAATGGCTACTATATGCAAAGCTGGGTGGTAGGCACTAAGAGTCAAGCCTTCGATGGAGAAGAAACAATGATATACCAGGACATTTCTGTGACTCAATGTCAAATTTTCAAGGTTTCAAATCCTATGGCTGACTTCTCCCATGCGATTGGGAGTTACCCTAAATCTGACCTCTGATGAAGCTCTTGTTTCTGGTGATAAATGTGCCAAGAAGTCGTTCATGTATCCACAAATGAGGATGTTCTTGATTAAAGAAATGGCTGAGGTGAGGCAATTTACTAGAGACCACAGAAAGTTCCTTTAGAGAAATGTTCCCTGCCTTGCCTGGGATGTGTCCCTAAAGATGCTGCAGGTGAAGATTAAGCAAGTGTAGAAAAGGAGTGGAGTGACCTTGACCTAGACCTAGACCCCCGTGCTTGTACTTTGTATTAGCTACTGAATTCCATTAAGTGAGTTGTCAAATTTTTTGGTCATTTTAGGCATGTGATCTCTGTATTTTCTATCAAAATATCTATGGGTCAATTTTACATATAAATATAAATTTATTTTTACATATAAATTTGTTACTTTTTATTCTAAAAAATTTTAAACATAAACAAAAGTAAAGAATGCAGCAAACTATGTAATCATTGCCCAGTTTCAACAACCATCAACATGTTGCCATACTTGTTTCATCTATCCCAACTTTGTTTCTCTGAAGTGTTTTAAAGCAAATTCCATGTATTAGATCACTTTGATCTTAAGTAGATTTTCTAAAAGAAGTAGGTGGTGAGGGGTAAGAAGGGGCATTTTCTTACATAACTACAAGGTTGGTATCTAAATGATAAAAATAGCATTTTTTATTATCATCCAATATCCAGTCTAATTTTAGAATTTTCTATTTAAAAAAAAAATTCCAGGAAGCCCCAAAAACCTGTTTTTGCCATTAGTTCAAATCAGGGCATGAACTGACAAAAAGTGTGAACCCAAAGGAGCTTTCTCACCAAAAGATAAAACAGACTTTCAAGGACAGCCACCAGGCTAACCCAAGGATGGTTTGATCTCCAGAGCTGGAGGGTTGTTGAAGGCACCTAAGATTTTTCTTCTCCAAGTTCGCATTCTCAATTTTTTCCATTGTTTCTCTTATGACACGATTTTTCTCTTCCTTTCTATTCTTCTCTTCTTAGCATGCTCCAGTTGGTGAATGTCTCTAGTAGACGTATTACAAGGGAGCTGCTATCTTCAGTTATCAGAGCTTGGACCAGCACTGGTGTTTCTATTTTAGGATAAAGTGAGCTAATAACTTTATAGGCAGGCGGGTTGGTCTTGAGCTCAGTGTTAGTTTTAAATGCAGACCTGGCCCATCAACTCAGAGCTTTGCCTAATTCTCATTTTCCAGATATGAGCAAGCCCTTTTGATTCTAACTACCCATTGGTTCCTACTAAAATCCTGTTTTACCACTTAGTCATTTTCAAATATCCAGTGGTCCATCCAGCAGAGCATGGTTAAGAGTGTAGGCCTTGGAGTCTCTTAAAGCATGGCTTAGTAGTTAGATTGCACAGACTTTCCAGCCAATCTTCCCAAGTTCAAATTGCAGGTCTGCCGACTATGAGCTGGGAGATGTGGGCAAATTATTGATCTCTGTTTCTCCATTTGTTTATCTATATAATGGGAGTGGCAAAAATATCTTTCTCAATAGGTACTTGTGAGGACTAAATAAATAGTCAAAGTCTGTAAAACGTGCTTGATAGAGAATATGTGTTTGCTATTTTTATCATCCCACCTCTACCACTGAGATGTTGTGAGGCCTTGAGCAAATAATCTAACTAGAATATATTTCCAATTCTTTATCTCTAGCTTGGGGATTACAATGGAACCTATTAATAGGAACCTTGCAAAGATTGAAACAGATAATTCACTAAAAGATGAAAGTATCTAGTACACAATACACACTGAATAAATATTAGCTACTATTAGATACTGGGATGTGTTCCTAAAGATGCTGCAGGTGAAGATTAAGCAAGTGTAGAAAAGGAATGGAGTACTTTGTACAAATCCCAAGCCAAGAGTCAGGTGTGCCAGAAATGCTGGAACCTCTATTTTCTGTAAATCAACTTTATTTCAACTCCAAGACTTCATATTGCCTCAGTCATTCTTGGAATTTCTCTTCCCTGGGTCCTCCAGAGTTTGTGGCAGGGATCTGCGATTTTATACAATGCCCAGGTTTTCGGAGAGTCTGGCCTGTTATCAATCCCCCATCCACTCAGATGTCCATTATCTCATCCCAGGAGGTCCCTGCGGCGTCTGTACCACACTTAGGACTCTAGGTCTTGGCTAAACCCGGAGACTTCAGCCCTGGACCAAACCTCCTGGTGCATCATTTCCAGCCACAGCTTCAGAACACTCCCAGGACCCACCAACCTCTCTTAACTCTTACTCGAGTCTCTGGAAATCTCTTCTTAACCCAGAAAAAATCATTTTATTCTTAAATCCTGTTGACCTCAGTGGATCTTTGGAAACAGAAGTCAGGTCACAAACCTCCCCAGAGGCAGAGAAGCAGCACAGAGCCTGTTACCTATGTTCTTGAGTGGGAGGGGACAATCATAGGTTAACATCTCATAAAGCTCTCTGTCCCCCACTTTTAGGAGTACACGAGCCATCACACAGAAAATTCATCTCTCAGTCAGCTGGTGGACACCCACAATGCACCAGGCACCCTGTGAAGCACCAGAAGAGAACAAAGCTGAACTAAACATGGACCCTGCTCTCAATGAGTTCTTCCTCTAGAACAGAGGTCCTTAACCAGGTGACATTTGGCCATGTGTGGAGACATTTTTGGCTGTCACAACTAGACAGGAAGAGGGGAGTATTACTGGCATCTATTAGGTAGAGGCCAGAGATGCTACTAAGTCTCCCACAATACACAGTACAGCACCCCCGACTCATCGTCCCTGCATCCTGAAATGATCTAATCCAAAATGTTGGTAGTGATGGACATGAAAACTGTCATGCAAGGCAGAAGAAAAGCAAAGAGGTGACTGTGCCAGAAGCTCATCCAACCAAGATCCGTGAACAGAAAACTAACTGGGAGGACGATTCCTGGGAAGTTTTCACAGTGGAGGGGTGACCTAGGATACCGTGGAGCTGAGACTTCAGCTCATGGCCTTTCTACACGATTGCAGACAGCGATTGTCTAGACAAGACAGTACTAACCATCACAGTCGCCGGCTCCCTCCGGCCTTGCTCAGCTCACTCCTGAGCTGGAGCAGGCTGCTGTGCTTGAGGTCCTGCTAGAGAAGTGCCTTTTCCGTGGGCCTGGGGGCTCTGGTGTACAGCTGGGGGCTGCACTTCTCCATGCAGGTCTCTGGCACTGTCTTCTCCCAAGCGACCAGTGACCTGTGACCAGGTTAGTCAGATGAGGAAAACCAGTTCCTTAGTCAGGGGATTCTAATAGCATGAGAGAAGGTCCAGGACTGGAACTTTAAAGGAAACAACAATAAAAAACGTCATAGATCATTCTAACCTGCAGGCAGAATTGTGACGTTTATTTTACCAAAAATCATGTCCCATTGCTTTTGCTGTGGAGCATCATTTAGAAAGACATCCATGTGCCAAGACTGCCTCGGGCAGGCGAGGAAGAGCCGGTGGAGGGAGGTGGGGTCTGTGTCAGGTCTGGAAAGACAGGTGGGCTCCGGTTTAGAGAGTGGGGACATGCTTTTCTGAAGACTTTGCCCTGTCCATAGAGGGCATGGGATTAAAATCATGGGACGGGACAATGCCCTGTTTCAAATTTCAAATGTTTCAAATGAGTCCTGTCACCAGAGATATGAAGATTTCCACTTAGAAAACTGTCCACATTAAGAGTCTATTATTCACTTTCATCTTCAACCACTTTTGGAGCACAGAAAATGAAGTTTAATTTACAGAAAACCTGGCATTCTTAATGGTGGATATAGCCAACAACTTTAAGGTTCCCTTCATTTCCTACTCTGGTTGTGGGGTGAGAGGAGGCCTCAGCCTGCCCTCTCAGATATTTTGACAGGGTTCTTGTATTAGTCTGTTCTCACACTGCTGATAAAGACACACTCGAGAGGGGATAATTTATAAAGAAAAAGAGGTTTAATGGACTCACCATTCCACATGGCTGGGGAGGCCTCACAATCCTGGCAGAAGGCAAAAGGCACCTCTTACATGGCAGCAGGCAAGAGAGAGCTTGTACATGGAAACTGTTCTTTATAAAAGCATCAGATTTTGTTAGACTTATTTACTATCACAAGAGCAGCATGGGAAAGAACTGCTCCCATGATTCAGTTGCCTCCTTCTGGGTCCCTCCCACAACACATGAGAACTGTGGGAGCTACAATTCAAGATGAGATTTGGGTGGGGACACAGCCAAACCATATCTGTTCTATTCTTCCTGTCTTCAAGGCTACACACTGCCCCTGAGCCATGGCGTTTGCTGCCAGCTCTGTGCTGCTGCCTGTCACTTCTCCCTACCAACTTCTCTAGCCATGAACCCCTCACTGCTTCCTCCTGGACGGTTGACATTTTCCAACTTGAAATGTCAATAACCATGGAATCATTCCCCTTTCTGATCTCCCACAGTCTGTCATTCCCATCTCAGTGACTAGCAGGCAAATCCACATTTTCCTTCTCCCTCACCACCCCCATTTCCCAAGAGCCACACATTCCAGATGATTCTCTGTTCTCAGTATCTCCTGATGCAACCCTCCCCAAGGAGGGGCCTCCATGAGACCATGATCACTTGATGCCTGGACTGGAGCAATAGCCTCCTACATGGTCCCTTTGGGTTCATCCTTGTTCTCTTCTTTATTCTCCACCTAGAAACTAGAGTGAGCTTTCTAAAATGTACCAGTGCTAATGATTTATTATTGTTATTACAGCTATGACTTGTGGAGCATTTACTATGTGTTAGTCTATATGCTGAGTTCCTTACATGTATATAATATCCTTTAAATGCTCCCTAAGCACCCTATAAAAACATATTCTCACTATTCCCATTTAACAGATATGGAAACTGAGGCCCAGAGTGGTTTCATGACTGGGATCCCATAGCCATTAAAATGGAATGTCTAGTCAAATGTTACTCTTCAATGACCCCAAATCTTGACTTTTGGGGGAAAATGCACACCTTTGGTTTGGTCACAGGGTCCTTTGTGACCCAGGCTCTGCCTCTTTGTGCTCCATCCTGAACCCTAGTCTTGAGCCCAGTAAAGACTCACGGTGTTCATGTCATTCTGCTGCCCTTGTTCAAGTTGTTTCTTTCCCCAAGATGCCTTCCCATTGCAATCTGTCTGGCAGACTATCTCCCAAGTTTCAGCTGAAAAGTCACTTCTTCCATGAAGCCTTTTCTGATTGCCTCCCACCTCCGCCCCTTGGAGTACTGACCTCTTCCTTCCTTGGGCTTTTCTGTGGCCAGAACCCCACATTATGACCTAGTTTGTCACCATGGGTGAGGCCAGGAACCAGATCTTGTTCTTCTTGGTGTGCTAGTGCTCTGTGGGTGTTTGTGGCCTGATTTCTTCATGCCACCTGGAGAGGGTGATAATAATTGGGTGTGACGTGAATGTCCCTTAGTGTACAAAGGAGTGTCTTGGTGACTGACTGATGCCTTTGGATTGTAGTATGGCTTGGCGAACAGAGACCCTCAGAGCCTGGGGAGCAGCTTCTCTGGGACCACAGAGAGCACGGGAAAGGTGGGAAGAGCCATCTGCTATCCTTTGGGTTCGCAATTCCTCAGATTCCCAAAGGGGCTGGTGAGACTAGGGCTGGTCCACTGTGCAGAGGATAGTATCAGATTCCAGTGGCTCTTCGTGAATGCCTTGCAGCTTGCAGAGCAGGAGTGCAGCCCTCATGCCCCTTCTCAGGCCGCTCTGCCGGGCTCAGTTTCCAGGCCATCTCCAGAGGCCCCTCCCCACTCGTACTTGGTGGTCCGCCACCTGCCTCCCTCCTTAATTCACTGTGTAGGCAAGTTGGCCTTATCCTCCTGGCTTCCTCCTTCTTCCTTTGGAATCAAAGAATGACTTGCTCCTCCACTCGGCTTATTTGGCGATGGGTACTAGGGGAGGATGCTAGGAAGTGCTTTCATTTCCTTAGGGATACAGATGCAGAAGAAGCCACAAAAAGGAGCACTAATATTAAATCATAATTGAAGGCCCAACCATCTCAGGCTGAGGCTCTGGGTGCTTACTGTCTGCTCCCTGTCTCTCCCTCATTTATCTCCCACATCTTTCCAGCCCATGGACTCAGAAAAGCTTCATGCCTGACACAGCTGAAGGAGGACAGCAGGCTGGAGGGGCGTTCAGACCGCCTTGAAGCAGCTCTTGCCACACCCCCACTTCCACGCCCACCCAACTCATCTCCACCTGGGCTACCAGGTTCACAGGGAAGGACCCCCCTCACAGTAGGTCATAGGGCATGCAGGAAGGGAATTGTGCAATGAGTTGTATCTTTATTGACAACAGTTCAAGTTGGTCTCTTTGATTTTCTTGGGCCCAGATGGTTTTTCACTAGGACCCTGAAGTTAGTGCTCTTTGCTGAACACCAACCAGCCCTCACCCTGGGGCTCACCCTTTGGCACAGCCCTACTTGGCGTTGACTAGGTGCTTGTCACACATTGGTAGAGTGAAGGCACCAAAATGGCCTTCAGCTAGAATGCCAGGGGCTGGCAGGGAAGCCTAAGCATCTACTTTCTCTAACTAGAAAATGCCAGGCTGCATAATGACCCTTTCGCAGGCTGGGAATATCCGCCAGAATATCCACCCAGGTGGATATTCCCCTTACATCCTCATGATCTTGACCTAAACCTTAGCTTCCCTAATTGTCTGTAAAGGGCGATGCCCATTCCCCACAAGCTCTCTGTCTATATCCACTTTATTTTCCCTACATTGAAGGAGCTACAGCTCTTTCAGCCAAGCTCAGCTCACCGCCCCTCCCTGTCCATCCTTGATTCTGGGGTGCCTCTTGACTCCTGTTATTTATTTTCTTCTTTCACCTTCCTTTCTTGTGCCAAGACCACTAGATGGAGATATACAAATACTCACTGAGCACTTACTATCACTGCCACGCACCATTCAGAGTGCTTTTCCTGCATGATTTGATTGAATCCTCAGGACAACCTTTTGTGGAGGTTCATTATTTTCCTGACAGAGCTTAAGGCTCAAAGTGGCAGAGCCGGGATTCAAACCCTCATCTCTTTGAGTTCAGACTTCATTCATTAGCTAAGATCACATACTGAGCTGGAAGAACTTTGAAGCTGGGGGATTTCCAAGATCATCTTGTCCATTTTTTTTTTTTTTTGCCCTTGGGCAGGGCTGAAGCCAGATTATCAGCAAAGGATTATAATTAGAATCTTCGTTTAGTGCTAGAGCAAAGAAGAAAAAACCCCATCCCTTCACAACTCATTGCAGCATGTACAAGGATTTGTAGGTTTAACACTCTTACTAATGCCTAGCCCAAATTATCGATTTGCTGACTGTTTAAGTGCCTACTATGTGCTGAGCTCTGTTGTGTGCTGTGATAGACTTGGACCTGAGTTATCATGGAAGTACAGAGAGAAGCACCAAATAGACTGGCTAGTTAGGGATACCCACCAGGTGATGCTAAGCTGAACTCTGGAAGTCTTAGAGATGCCAGGCAGTGAGGAGGGGCATCCAGACAGATGGAACAACATGTACAAAGTCAGGGGGTGTGGCTGAGGACGGCTTGCTCCAGCATATGGCTTGCTCGTCTAATGAGAAGTATTAGGGAGGGGCGAATAAAG